CCTCAATGAATATCAATTCATTGAGGGCCCGCTAAGGGTCGGGTGGTGGGGACACAGCGATGCACAAAAGAGACAAGGTCCAGGGACTCATAGAGCTTATGGTCTGGTAGTAGTAGAAAAACAATAGACAACTAGACACATAAAATAAAAAGCAAACAAATACGTACCCACATAAATAAGCAAAAAATAATTTTGGATATCCATAAGGGCTACGGAGAAAATAAATAATAGGATTGGGGATGGTAGCATTTGATAAGCTCCTCAGAGAAAGCTTCCTGGAGGGGGTAACATTTGAACTGAGACGTGAACGGTAAGAGGAAGCCCACCCTGGGGAGACCTGCGAGAAGAGCTCTGCAGGCAGAGGGAACAGCATGTGCAAAGGCACAGCCAGGAGGCTAGCAGGACGGGAGCAGAGTGATCACGTGGAACCTGAGGTTGAAGAGGAAGGGAGAGCCAGTCTCATGGGCCGTGGTAAGGATTTGGGATTTTATCCTACAGCAGGACGAGGCCACTGGAGGCTGTTAAGCAAGAGAATGACGACATGTGGTTGACGCTTCTAAAAAGAATCACTTAGACTGCTATTCGAGAGGTGGACTGTAGTGGGCGCAAGATGGAGGCAGCAAGACCAGAGTGGAGGCTGCTGCCTAACCCAGGCCAGGAGCAGTGGGGTGGCACAGTCTCTGTGTCCCGGAGATGTTCTGGAAGTGGAGAGAAGGGGGGTTGAGGTGATTCCAGTTTTGGCTCGAGTAGCTGGGTGGATGGGGATGTATGAAGTATTGAAATGGAGAAATATTGGGGGGCGGGGAGAGCAGTAGCCAGCCTGGGAGAGAAAAGTCAAGAGCGCAATTGTGGACGTGTAGATTCTAAGACCATCGGTGACAGTGCTGGATAGACGGAAACTGTAGGACAGAAAGACAGACACCGAGAGCCCCAGGCTGAGACCATGAAAACAACATGGAGATCTGAGAAAGACAGGGAGGTTAGAGAGACTGAGCGGCAGAGAAAGACAAATGCTCGGCAAGATGAACAGAGTTGGAAGAGCAGGCGCGCTGGGTGAAAGAGGTCCAGAGAGCCCCCTGGAGAGGAAGGCTCAGAGGAGACCCTCAAAGACCAACGCAGAGACAAAGTGTCTCCCCCTCCCGGGCCTCCTCCCGTGACCCTCTCTCTTTCCCCAGGCCCAGGATCCCTGGAGAACTCGGCCCCGAGGCCCCCAGGGCCCCTGACGCTCCTCTCCGCCCTGGGCTGGCTGTGGTGGAGGATGTAGGAAGAACCCAGAGCAGCTCCCTCCCCTTGCGGGGGGGCCTGAGGCCGAGAGGGAGAGAAAACGGGGAGCAAGCGCCATGGGTCTCGAGGGGGCGGAAGAGCTCTCGGCCACCGAGGAGGAAGAGAGGAGGAGGAGGAAGAGGAAGGAGAAAGATCTTAGAGAACCCATCACTGTGAGGGATAACGCAAAATTATGCATCTTTCTACAGCCATTCTCGCCACCCTTCACGTTGCCGATTGTGACTCACCCCCGGCCACCCCACACCCCTCTCTTAGCTCAGGCTGTCAACTGGATTGCGTGTGTGCAGTGCGTGTGTGAGGATGAGCCCACGTGTGGGTGGGTGGGTGGATGGGTGGGTGGGTAGGGAAGGGGGCTCAGCGATCTTCCCTCCCCCAACACCCCTACATCCACCACTCCCCACCCTGCTGCCTCTCACCTCTGGCTGGAGGTAGGTATGGGGGCTTCATGGTAGAAGCTGTGAGGAGAGGTTTTCCAGGCTCCCTGCTTTCTCAATATATGCACGCACACCGCCCCTCCCCTCCCTCTTGAGACAGTGTTTCCCGGGCAGGTTGGGAGTGGGGAGGGGTGTCGCGCTCCCCTGTTGAGCTGTCATTCAGCCTTTGGGAGCAGGTGGGGGATCTCCATCTTGGCTCCGGGCCTCCCTGCTGTCAACCACCAGCTGCCTGCAGCCAGAGGCCCCATCACTGGCTCAGCAGCCTGAGACCTTCCCACTTTCCCTGTCCCCCCGACCCTGGACTTTCTGGCCCCCTCCTGGGCCAATCGGTGCTTCCATTTAACTGGCAGGCTGGTGCCTGTGGTCACCTGTCTGTCTCAGTGCTTTGCCCTACCCACACCCCCACTCCCCCCGGCCACCTGCAGCGCCAGCCAGCAGCCCTCCGCCCCTCCAGCCGGTCCACAGGTGTGGGCTTGCTGGTCGACCACCCCCTGGCCTCTCCACCAACTGCACCTCCCAAAGGCTGATCTGACCGCCCTCACACACACTCAGATAGACACACACACACACACAACGGCGACTGTGACCAGCAATAGCCCCCTGGCTCCAGCGGTCCTGTAGCTGGTGACCGGCTGTTTAGTTCCCCCAAGGTTGGGCAGCTGTCATCAGGAGGGGGTGCTGAGAGGCTGTAACTGCAGCTCTGACTGTAGGAATACCCCACCCTGCACACCACATCACACAAAGCGAGGGAGAGAGGCATCACGGAGACATCCCGAGCCCAGACCAAGATGTCAAGTCCCCAGCTCCCACTCCCGGGAGACCCTCTATAAACACCTACCCTGAACCACACCACCCAGAGCTGGGGGGGAGAGGGCTGAGCAGGGGCGGGGGCAAGGGGCAGTGACTGTACCTCAGACAGGGGCGTGGGCCCCATCCCACATTGTCTTCCATTCCCAGGGTCCAGGGGACAGGGAGGGGTGGGGGAGGGCGGCAAGGGAGGGGGCGGGGGGCCCTGGGGGCCGTGTGTTCCGATTCATGGGGAGTGTTGAGACCACCACACCAATAAACGCCTTTTTCCAAAGTCTTTGCCTGCAGGTGTCAGTGTCATTAAGGATTTGGGTGAGTGGAGGGCAAAGGGTTGTGGTCATCTGGTGCTGACCCCCCGCATCATTCCTGCCCTCTCCTTTCTCTGTGGTAGATCTGGAATTGACCCATTACAGAGATGGCCCCTGATTGGCTTAAGCCACTCAGCATAGCCCATTTCTCACCGTGACGGGTTCAGAGGTGGGCACATGACCTGGTCAGGCTAATGATAGAGTGACTACCAGCGCTGTATGGATTCACAAGAGGAGATGCTTGTCTGCTGGATAATATGGCTCAAGACGTGAGGTCTAGATCTGCTGGGTTGCTCTTCCCCATCACATGGAGAGATCTTGGGTCTGTGGGATTGCAATGGTGGGGAAGACAGCATGTGGGGCCTGAGAAGGATGGAGACACTATGGAATGCAGAATGGAAGGTCTAGAGAAACTGAGTCCATGATGACATTGTTTCAACAGCTGGATCAAAGCTTACCTGATGGCTGCCTTCACTTACATAAGCAATAAAGTCCCCTGTATGTTTAAGCCAATTTGCGTTAGGTTTTCTGTCTCTAGTGACTAAAAAGGAAATGAAACTCTAACTGATACAGAAGAGGTATAGAGGGTCCAGGTACCCAGGACCCCAGCCCTCACCTTTTCAAATGATCCAAGGGCTCTATTTCCCAAAAGTTTCTTTCACGCCTATCTTTAACCAGAATGCCTCACATCTTTTCCTTCCCTGAGACAGATGCTGGTTGCCTATGCTTTAGTTATTGGTTTCCTCTTTTTTCTTTGCTGTCAGACCCACTTCTCATGACACAGGCTGAAATATTTGGTTTCCCAGCCTCCCTTGCAGTGATGTGGCCAGTTTTTGGTCAATGAGACATAAGAGAAGTTTGCTGGAAGGCTTCTAGGAAAGTGTTTTCCCCACTCATGAGGTTGGTTGAGGGGAGGGGTATGGGAAGGGAACCCTGCTCCCTTCCTTTTCTCTTCAGATACAGTTGTATGAAGATGTAATGCCTGGAGCTGCAGCAGCCATCTTGCTATATGAGACAACATGCCAACCCACTGAGGGTGGCAGAGCAGAAGGATGCAAACACTCCAAGCCTTGATGATGTCACTAAGTTGCTGAGCCAGCCTGAAACCACCCACCTCCATATGCCACCATATGCTTTGTTACTTGTAGCCAAAAGAATCTTCACTGATGCACTACCTAGATTTCCAACGAGAAACCCAGCTGAAAAAGGAAGACATCATGCTGGGGAGAGCAGCAGCAAGCCCAGCCCTTCACTGGCACCAAAACATTTGATCAGTCAACCAGCATTTATTGATTGCCTACTGTGTGTCAGGCTCTGTGTTAAGAGCTGGGGATAATGACATGGTCTCTGTTTTCATGAAGTTTTCAGTTTAGAAAGGGAGTTAGAGGCTAAACCAATAATTATCTATTTACTTACGAGGAGCAGGAGGTTCAGGGACTCTGGGACCTAACTCACGACTGAGGCAGGGGTTAGGGAAGCGTCTCTGAGATGGTAATAGTTACCTTTACACTTGAGAAATGAATGGCACAGGGGAAAGACCCGTGCTCCAGGCAGAGTAAACTCTAGGGGCCAATGCCCAGAGGCAAAATAAAGTGTGGTGGAGAAGAAGCCTGTGCTACTGGAGTAGCAGGGGGGAAAGTACTGGAAGGGGAGGTCGAAGAGGCCATCAGAGGCCAAACCCCTAGGCTTTGAAGGTCAGATGAGACATCTGGACAATGTCTGAAAGGCCATAGGAGCGTTTAAAGAGAAGAGGGATGTGATCTCATCCGTTTTAAGATGAAGATTCTGGGAGCTAAATGGGGTGTGGCCTGGAGGAGGCAAAGTGGATGGAGGAAGATCTTTTCAGAGAACTAGGTTGGGCCCCTCTCTCGCTCGGAGCAGCACAGCAAGCCCTGCCCGTCCACCGCAGAGCCAGCACATCTTACTGGCTTGGGGGTTGTGCAAACCACACTGTTAGACCGCAGGAGTCTCTCCCAGCCAGTAGTCCCACCTCCTTAGTTGCACAAATTCAGGGAGAGTCTTCTTCTGTGCAGCAAGGCAGACATGAAGTCCCACTTCCGGGGTCCAACCTTCAGTCCTAGCAGGACAGGAAGGCCCTGCCCGCTGCTGGGGCGAAACAGGAAGTCCCGCCCCAAAAGTCCTGCACAGAGCGGGCCACCAGCCCTGGTCACACCTGCGTGGCTGCCCGAACAGTCTTCTGGCCCCCACCTGCAGCGATGACCGGACTGGGGCTGGTGGCCTGCAAGAGAGAAGAGGGGTGGTGGGGGATGACCTCAGGGGTCGCCCGGATGTGACATGAGTCGCCTGTTTCTAGCGCTAGCTCACACCATTCAGAAATTAGCTGGGTTCTTTCCATTTGCAGAGGGAAAAAAAATGTCTAACCAACCTTGGGAGAGATAAGACACGCAACAACCCAACTTTTACAGGGAAGAAGACATTCCATACCACTTCGGAGAATATGGAAGTTTCGCCAATTTTTACGGAAAAGAATAAAGAAGTCCCACCCTAATTTTTTTTTTTTTTAAATCTTAATAAACGTTTCCTCCTTTATGGAAAAATTAGGCTTTCACTCTCCTTTTAATATACATAAAAGTTGGATGGGAAGTCCCGTCCAACTTTTATATACTAAAAAAAGGATAAAATTTTACCAACTTTGTAAACCAACAAGTAAAGCTGGAGAAAGGGAAGTCAGACCATCCCCTCCCTCTGACTAAAACGGAAAGGCCCACCCCTGTTCCGGGAAGGCACTGGGGCACCCACACTCACTCGGTGGGCCCTGGTTGGGCTAGGGTCCTCCATCGGGACTTTGAGGGGCAGAGGCTGTGGGGCCAGCACTGGGGTCACGCTCTGCATCTTCTTTTCAGGTGGGGGGACCACAGGGGTCAAGCTGGGCGGATACTTCTTTTTCTTAAGAGTCTTTCCTGGGAAAGAGAGAGAGAGAGAGAGAGAGAGAGAGAGAGAGAGAGAAGGAAGAGAAATAGAAACATGTGATTGGCTGCTCCAATATGCCGACTCAGCCAATGGCAAGGGAAGCTGGTCAGAGAGGTGGAGCCCTACTCTGATTGGCTGATATGGAGGTAGAATGGCGGGATGCCCCCCCAGTTGGTCCCTCACTCACCCCGAAAGCGGCAGAGGCAGCAGATGCACAGGAGGAGAAGGGCTGCCAGGAGTGCCAGGCCCAGTAGGGAGCCCAGGACGATGCCAGCGATGGCCCCGGGGCTCAGGGTGGGGCCTGGAAGAGACAAAGAGGAGGGTAACGAGGGGAGGAGCCAGGGCTGGCCCTGTTTCCGAAGCCCCCTGCCCCCACCCTCTCAGAACCCAGGAATCTGGGACCCCAGCGCTCAATTCCTGTAATGTTTACTGAGCGACTGTGGCGTGCCTGGCATTCTACCAGATGGTGAAGATCCATTGGTGAGCAAACCAAGATACCTACTCTCATGCGGATTCATTTGAGGAGAAAAATCAGAAATGAATGCACAAATAAATAATTACAGATTGTACTAAGAAGAAAAATAAATGTGCTATGATAGAAATAACGGGAGGGGAGGTGACACTTAGAAAGGGTGGTGAGGGAAGGTCCCTGAGGAAGTAACATTTGAGCAGAGACTTGGAGAGTAAGGAGCCAGGCATGCTATACCGAGGGGAAGGCTGTTCCAAGCAGAGGGAACAGAAAATGCAAAGGCTCAGAGGTAGGGAAGAGTTCTATGTTCAGTGAAAGCCAGAGCAGGTGGAGGACGTGGAATGAGGGGGAAAGTAGAGGATGAAGTTAGAAGGGTTAGCAGAGGCCAGAGCCTGGGGGGTCTTGTAGGAACTCATGAAAGGCTTTTAAGGACGGCAGCAGCAAGATGACCTGATTTGCAAAACCTTGGCTTCTACCTGGAGAAGGCATTGTAGGAGGGCAAGAAGGGGCATAAAGAGACCAGATAAATGGCTGCTGTCTGACCACACTGTTGGAGTGGAGATGGAAAGAAGTGGATGGATTAGGAAAGCATTTTGGAAGGAAAATTGACAGGACCCACAGGTATTTCAGATGTTGGAGGTGACTTGGGCATGTGGGTGGTGCCACTGACCAGGATGGGAAGGACTGGAGAGTTGGGGGAGTGAGGCGGGGTTGCAGTTTGGGGGACAAAATATCAAGAGGTCTATTTTAGACATGTGAAGTTTGAGATGCCACTTGGACATCCAAAGTGAAGGTGTCAAGTGGGGAGGAGGCTTTTCAAGTCCAGAGTTCAGAAGAAAGGTCTGGGCTGGGGGTCGGACATTTGAGAGTCATCTGAGTATTAATGATACTCAAGGTGATGAGGGTGGACAGGGCCACACTGGGGAGAAATACAGGCAGAGAAGAGGTCTGAGGACTGAGCTCTGAGATATTCAGTACTTAGAAGTTGGGGAGTGTTATGAGTTGAATTGTGTCTCCCCCAAAAAGGATATATTGATGTCCTAACCCCCAGTACCTGTGAATGTGACCTTATTTGGAAATAGAGTCTTTGCAGATGTAATCAAGTCAAGATGAGATCATTAGGGAGGGCCCTGATCCATTATGACCGGTGTCCTTACAAGAGGACAGAGATGCACACAGGGAGGAGAAGGCTGTGGGAAGCTGGAGGCAGAGACTGGAGGGATGCAGCTGCAAGCCAAGGACTGGCGGCCGCCACCAGAAGCTGGAAGAGGCAAGCAAGGATTCTACCCAGAGTCTCAGAGGGAGCACGGCCCTGCTGACACCTTCATTTCAGACTTCTGGCCTCCAGAGCTGTGAGAGAATACGTTTCTGTTGTTTCAAGCCCCCCAGTTCATAGTACTTTGTTACAGCAGCCCCCAGGAAACTAATATAGAGAAGGAAGGAGGATCTAGCAAAACAGACTGAGGGAGGCAGCCCGGGAGAAAGCTCCGACAGTCCCAACTCACCGGCCCTGTAGACCTGGCTTTGTGTTGGGGTCCCTGGCTTGCCCCCCAGGGTGGGCAGGATACGCAAGACCCAGGTCCTGGGGTTCTGAGAAGGGAGGGGCACCACGGCTGACCGCTCCTGAGGCCCCAGGTTGAGCAGGGAGACCCAGTCCTTGTAGATGGTGGCTCTGCCCAGGTCAGGCCCTTCTCGCCATGCCTGGATCTCAAAACCGCTGATCAGGACCCCACGCTCTACATCCCAAGTCAGCACTGCTGCATCACGGGCTCTCTGTAGCCTCCAGGAGGAGATGGAGGGTCCTGGGGGGATCAAGGAGGAGGGCACTGGGTCCTTGAGGGGAAAGGGAAGGGGGCTGTGGGCCTGGACTCCTAGGTCCCAGGGACAGAGGGTCTGGAGACCCAGACTTCGGGGTCTAAAAGAGGAAGGGACTGGGGGCCTTAACTCCTGGGTCTGAGGGAGGAGGGAGTTGGGGGTCCAGACTCCTGGGATTGAGGAAGGAGGGGGGTGGGGTTCCAGACTCCTGGGTCTGAGGGAAGAGAGGGCTGGAGGACCAATGAAACTCACCAGTGAGGGTGATCTGGTCACCCCCAGCACCCAGCGCCCCACTGCACAACACAGAGTAATTTCCCAGGTCCCAGTCCAGGCTGAAGTTGCCAATGAGGAGCCTCCGCCCATCTTGGCTGAGCTGCAGGCGCCCCCCGCCTCCTGGGGCCAGGGGCCGCCCTTCCCGGGCCCAGGATGCTCTTGAAGGTGGGGGACAGCCGGAGGCCTCCAGCGCCACCTCTGCCTCTCCTGACCGTGTCTCCTCCGCAATCGGATGCAGCAGCACCTCTCGAGGGGCTTCTGCAGGTGCAAGAAACCCAGTCAAGAAAGTCCAGACCTTACCCTTGAGTCAAAGAATAAGTCCTGGGCCCTTCAGTAAATCAAATAGCAATGAAACCCTAGCAGCTTAGCCAAATGAGGAAGCACTGCCCATTCACTCACTCACTCATTCATTATCTGATTTCCTTAACAAGGACTTACTGAGTACATACTACAGGCCAGGTCCTGTGCTGGGAAACATTATTCTCAGCCTTTCACTGTTTTGAACACGTGGGAATGTGTCAGCCCCCTTCCTGGGTCCAGGAAAGAAAGTTTGTCCCTGCCCCTCCTCGAGGTATAGGAACAACCTTGGTCTTACCTGAGAGTTAAAGCAAAAGGAAACCCTTCTTCCTGGAGCTAGGAAGTCCCCCTTTCTGGTGTCCTAAAGGAGCTAAGAAATACCCCCTCCTCTTCGGGAAACGGGAAAGAAGTCCCACCCGCTCTCACCCGGGGTGACGGTGCAGGTGCGCGTGGTCACCAGGTGGCGAGCGAGGCAGGTGACAGGGACTCCGCTGAGCCGGGGGTGGGCGGGGACAACCGCCAGGAGCGCAGAGGGCACCGGCCCCGCGCGGACGCCTTCGGGGAGACCCTGGAACTGCAGGGAGGCGGCAGGGACCCCGCCCGGCCACGAGCAGCGGAAGCGGAGGCTGCGGTCCCCAGGACCCCCTTCGACTGAGCACTGTGGGGCCCCGGGGGGCAGCTCTGTGGAACAGAGGGAGAGGTCAAGGAGTCAGTCTCTCTTCCATCCAGCCCCGCCTCTCCGCGCGCTCACCCCACCCCTTCTTCTCTTAGCCCCGCCCCGTAGGCACTGACCCCGCCCCAATTCTCTTGCTGACCCCGCTCCCTTTCCCCAGCAACCGCTGGCCAAGTGGGCGGCTGCAGCCACACTGACTGCCCCCCTTGCCCAAGGATACTACATCGTTGCACACGAACTCCTTTCCTTACAAACGTAACCCCGCCCCTTCCTTTCTAGCCCCACCCCTTCTGCCAGGTCACTTGGCCCCTTTAGCCAGATATCTCTCCCGTTCATGGTGGACTCCGCCCCCTTCCTAAAATGGTCATGCCCCTTGCTAGAATGCCCCTCCCGTTTCCCTTGTGACTTCGCCCCCTTTCCCAGATAATTTCTTTACTGATCCCACTTACTTGGCCCAAGCAACTTAGTCCCCTCCCTTTCTGGCTCCCATTGTTTGCCATTTAACTCCGCCGCTTAATTTGCTCCTTGCCCAGGAATCTCTGCCCCGTCAGTGCTGGCTCGGTCGCCTCTCCTGGCCATCCTGCCCCATCGTGCACATCCCTCTGGTCCTTCCTGGTTCTGCCACTTCTCCTGGGCATTCCCAACCTTTTTACAGGGAGTCTTCGCCCCTCTTTGCTGGCCCCGCCCTCTCCAGGTACCCC